CTCTAGTTAGTAAGGTGGGGAGGTGGAGGCGAGTGCCACCATGGATGCGAAAGGAGGTGGTTAAAGGGATTAGATGAAAGAGGAACCTCTGTAGGAAATGGGTACTGGGAAATAGACAAAAGGGTATACCGGGAGGAGGAGGCCCGTTGCAGAAGGATTCTTCGCAAGGCTAAGGCTGATTACGAGCTGAGACTTGCCAAGAATATCAAGAGCAACAAAAAGAGCTTCTTTCAGCATGTAAATAGGAAGAGGAAGGGGGACAAGTGGTGGGACCACTAAATAAGGAGGAAGGAGATCCAGTGACTGATATGAGGGAACAGGCACAGATGCTAAATGACTATTTTGCCTCTGTGTTCTCCCCAAAGCAGGACGGGGGATATCCGCATAGGAGATTAGATGAGGCTGGGGACTTAGGGGCACAGATTAGAGTCACCCCCCTTGAAGTTGAGGCGCTCCTCAGGGCATTGGACATTACAAAGGCACCAGGCCCTGACGGGTTACACCCGAGAGTACTTAGAGAGTTGGCAGGGGTTCTCTCACGCCCACTGGCCTCCATTTTTGAGACCTCGTGGAGAACAGGTGAAGTTCCAGAGGACTGGAGGGTGGCATCAGTGGTCCCAATTTTCAAAAAGGGTAGTAGAAAGGACATGGGGAATTATAGACCTGTTAGCCTTATGTCCATTGTAGGAAAAACAATGGAAAGGCTCATAATAGAGAGAGATCTAGTGATGCTAGATAGGGAAGGGAGGCTGAGAGCCACACAACACGGCTTCCGCAAAAACAGGTCCTGCCAGACAAACCTTGTGGAATTCTATGACAAGGTTTCGAGATGGCTAGATGGAGGGGATGCAGTGGATGTGGTATACCTGGATTTCAGCAAGGCCTTTGACAAAGTGCCCCATGATATCCTGGTGGAAAAACCGAGGAGTTTTGGGATACACCAAAGCACTGTCTGGTGGATTAGGGCATGGTTGACTGATCGAAAGCAGAAGGTAACCATTAGCGGGGAATCATTGGGATGGTGGCCAGTAACAAGCAGGGTCCCCCAGGGCTCTGTCCTGGGGCTGATCCTGTTTAAACTTTTCATTAACGACATGGAAGAAGGGGTGAACAGTCTGCTGATCAAATCGCAGACGACACTAAAACTGGAGCAGTAGCCACAACTGAGGAGCAGGTACTCCGGATCCAAAAGGAACTGGACAGACCATGGAAGTGGGCAAGAGACAACAGGATGGCGTTCAATGTGGATAAGTGCAAGGTCTTGCACTTGGGGCATAGGAATAGCTGTCATAAGTACAGGTTAGGTGAGAAGTGGCTGGAGAGCAGCACTTGTGAAAGGGACCTCGGGGTACTGGTTGACTGCAGGCTAAACATTAGTCAGCAGTGTGATGTGGCTGTCAAGAGGGCGAACGCCACCCTTGGTTGCATAGTCAGAAGTGTGGCTTCTAGATTGAGAGAGGTATTGCTACTACTCTATATGACTCTGGTGCATCTGCAACTGGAGCACTGTGCTCAGTTTTGGGCCCCTTATTACAGAAAGGATATAGCCAGGTTAGAGTCAGTGCAGCGTAGGGCCACAAGGTTGGTGGCCGGTTTGCAGGGCATGCCGTATAAGGCGAGACTGAGGGAACTGGGTCTCTTCAGCCTGGAGAAGAGGAGACTCAGAGGGGATCTGTTGGCGACATACAGGTATGTGAGGGGATGTCACATGGAGATGGGTAGAGACCTGTTCTCCCCTGCAGAGGAAGGCAGGACGCGCTCCAGCGGAGCAAAGCTCAGGGAACCAAGATTCAAGGTAGATGCCAGGAAGTACTTCCTGACAGTCAGGACCCCGAGGGTGTGGAATGGGCTTCCACGAGAGCTGGTTGAGGCCCCATCAGTGCGGGTGTTCAAGGATAGGCTGGACGTCCACATGGTGGGCATGTCGTGAGCGGAGCCGGCTGGTGCCGGAGGTCAGACTAGATGGCCTGGGAGACCACTTCTGACTCGCTCTGTTTCTATGTTTCTAAATGTGGAATTTTCCCCCAGAGAGGTGCACCTGGCTCTGACTCTATTCTTTTTGGCACCAGGCTAAAACCTTTTAATTTTCCTTGTATTTTAACATTTGTATGGTTTTATTATATATTTTATATATATAATATATACTGCTTTTTATTGAAGTGCTGTTGTGTTATCTTTATATTTTTTGCAAACTGTCTTGAGAGCTCATCGGGATATTAGATGATATATAAATATTTCATCTAAATAGATAGATATTCCTCAGCTATAGCAGCTTTCCAAATTGAGGCGCCATGCAGGTACAGAGCCCATTATGTGTGAATGTACAGAGACCATGAAAAAGATTTCTTTTCATATACTCCTTTTTATTAGCAACACTGGAATAGTAAGTATCTCTTATTTTTCTCCCAAGGCACATCAATTGCACCTTTCATGTCTTTCTTCTTTTTTGGCATTTACACTTCCCAATTTCATCCTTCAATATCATGGCTCCTAGCTCCATGTTCAGGAGGAGGAATTTTAATACCATACATTTTTCAGCTGATAGAAATTCTCAAAATAAAATATCAAAGAAACACAAGTGTATCTTCATCCTTTTTAAAAATTTCATGGTATTTTGTTTACTGTAAGCCACTTTAAGGACCAACAAGCAGAAAAACACAACACAGATCTAAATAAAATATTAACCCCCACCCTGCAGCAATAGCTATACCTTTGTGCCAGGCGAACATACATGTAGATTAGGAACCAGATTAGGAACCTTGGGAAATCGGCTGTGTTATTCAAATGATCACTCTGGCAAATTAAGAGTTACTTCCTCTGGAGGCTACTGCCCAGTGAGGATGTGAGAAACAAAGAAAAGAAAAACTTGGCAGTTTGGTTCCAATAATGGATCTTACTGAAAATGCACTTGCAAGCTCAGTCTTCTTACAGTCTGATGCATATATGCAGATCTGGCTCACTTAGCTCTGGGGTGGAATTTGGCCAAGGCACAGTCTAAACAGCCCCAGGGCTTGTTCTGGACCTGCTGATGCAATGCAGGAAATGGAACTGTGGCTGACTCACTCACTTCCTGCAGAGCCATCACTGACCCTAACGCAGTGCGGGAGGCACTGCAACGAAGAGGTCAGGGCAAGGGGAGGAGGCTACTCGAGCCAGTACTGGAGCAGTGGGACTAGGCAGGGGGAGCATTATATTGCTGGAGGGAGGACAAAGTATACATTTATTTTTCCTGGTGCTGTTCATAGGCCCGAGAGTGAAAAAGAGAAGTGATGTGTGGATTTGAAAAACTCACAGAACCTCAATATGTATGCAGAGCTGGGCATGCAGGTAATGAAAGTCTAACACATTCTAGCCCCAGGATCCACCACAAGATTTCTTTGTGGGGTTTCTGCAGGCATAACAATAGAACATGGGGCTACATACATTTTCAAATACCTACACATAGCTGCATTTATCAAAATGGGGAAGTAGAGCCTAGAGATACAAGTGCTTTTGTCCAAGCAGTGAAGAAAAACATCATGATTACAGTAAACGTGTTGCCATGATCAAAAGCAGGACCCCAGCATGAAGTGCTAATTCTTTTTTCATGTGCAAAAGTTCAAATTATTAAGCAAAAAAAATCTGATCCTGTATTCTTTAGACAGGATCCTCAGCAAGACTATCAGACTTCAGCCCTACAGTCAGGGCTTCTTTGCCCTTTTCCTGCCATTTACCCTATTGCTTTCCTGCTGAAGGTTGCACACAACAAAGGGTTTCTCAAGAAGAGAGTGATCCACTTATATTTGCATATAATCCAGAACAAAGGGGAGTGACACAGAGGGAAAACAAATACATTTTATAGGTGCAGAGGTTGAGAATAATAGCAGCTTGTATCATGAGACCAGCTGTCAAAAGAGAAACAATGGTCTATTGGGATAATTCAAACCTGCAATTCTTATTGCAACACAGGAAACGGCTGCAAATGCCCTGCCCAGTATAATAAGCAAGCTAGCAGGCTCACTGCATTCTCATCAGAAACGATTAATAATCCTCTTTATTACAACTCAAAACAAAAGGACCACATTGTACCTGGAGCCAAAGCAGTTGGGTTCTCAACTGGATTGGATTCCAATGAGAAGCAAAAACACCCCCAAAATATGCACCAGCATGCAGAATCCAGAATTCAATGTCAGGTAAGTCTATAGCAGATATATGTGCACATGCATGCTATTCTGTGTATTGCTTCTGCTATTGTACAGCCGTGATGCCTGTGTCCAAATCTAGAAGCTTTCAGAGTTACAGCTTATCAGACATATATACATGCCTCTCTGCATCACGGTTTCTGTATGCAGCTCAACTCTGCTGCATGCTGGTATCCTGAGCCTAGCTTCTTCCCACATTCACAACACATTTAACACACATACTTGCCAGTGGTGATTCAAGTGGTGATTCAGTAAACTTCTCCTTGTTTTGCCTGTTATTTTATAATTTTTAACTTCTGTATACCACCTAGACATCTTAGGATAGGGGGTGGTATAGTAATGCTATGGCTAGCTGAACTGACTAAATAATATCAATGTACCTTCAGTGTTATAGGAACATTGTTCATCATTCTCCTGCCTGGTGCTTTCGAAAGCCGAATACTTTTTTTAAAAATGAGGGAAGTGCTTTGGTTCTATGCGGATGATTGTGTTAGTAACACCCCGCCATTTCCAGTTACTCAGCGCTGGGCAGAGTGAGCATCTGCTGAAATTACTACTACTGCTACTACTACTACATTGTGATTATATGCCACTTTTTCCATCTTGCAAGGAACCTTTTTTTCCCTTACAACTACCACCCTGGAAGGTGGGTTAGGCTGACAGTCAGTGACCAGCCCAAAGTCACCCAGTGAGCTTCCCGGCTGAGTGGAAACCAGAACCCGGATCTCTCAGGTCCCCAGTCTAGCACTCTCTCCAGCACACCGCAGAACAGAACCACTTACCCGGAGCTCAGTATAGACGGGAACGGCATTCCCCTACCTCTGGCTCACTGTTCAACACTTTGTACATCTGTCTCCATCCTAATGCCTTCTTCCTCCACATGGCTTATCCCAAAGTCTGCCAGATGGGCCTCGTAGTGCTACTGCTCTGAGGACATTGTGCAGCTGTCCTATATGTTCTTTCTCAATGGATTCTCTGAAGTAAGAGGAAAGATGGAGGAAATGGTGGGAAAACATGGGAGGATTGTGAGCAGAAGAAAATAGTGTCTGGGGACCCCTATGAAATTCAGTGAATGAGGTAGAGCAATGACACCATAAAAGCCTCATCTGGAAACACCCTTCATTTCAGCCTGAAATAAAATAAGTGCCAGGGCGACTTAATTTATACTGTTAATTTATATTATTTTATGGAAGTTTATTTATGGATGTGAGCCGCCCCGAGGCTTCGGTGAATGGGGCGGCATAGAAGTCTCCTAAATAAATAAATAAATAAATAAAACAAATGTGTCTTTGCTTGGCTCAAGCCACCCGACTCATTAGGTCATGAGCTAAACTCAAACAAGATTCTTTATCCTACTTGCCCTTGAAAGGAAGGTATAGCAATAGTAAAGAGCTCTCTCAACCCAAATTTCCCCCCAATTTTGGTATTTTCCACTTCAGTTATAATATGCTATTTATGGGTTTGTTTTCTTACGTGTCTGATTCTATGTTCTCTTCTGTTTTTCCTGAAAACAATTTAAGCTTATTTTGTCCTAGCTTATAAAAAACCTCTGGCTTACATATGTAAAACCATGAACTTACTCAGTAATATGCAACTTATAACATTTTGTAAGAGAGTGAGTTTCACCCTTAAATAAGAAATGAGCATATATGTCAGCAAATGATGACCTTTGTCATGTATTTTCTTTGTCCTCTTGTCCTGGCATTTTGGAAACATATTTTGGCAGCAGTTAAAGAGAGGACAGACATGACATTTGATTTGACCAAAAGTAGTTCCCTGGAGATATTTAAAGAAGACTATTGCATATGATAACCTTAAAGTAATCCTTTGTCTTCTAACAAATCTAAAGATATGCAATACTGGAAATCTACAAGAATCACCATTTTAATGGTTACATATAAATGAATATGTGAAGTCCTTGTGTCTAATGTATTATAGGAAAGCAGAGGTACAGAATATTCTCTGACAGATTTGTGGAAATGTTTGCTTTATTTCTAATACACTGGAGCAGCTTCTCAGTCCATAGCAGAGCCTACAGTCTAAAAGAGCAGTCTTATATCTTAAACCTGAAACATCTAAACCTACACCTAGTGCACTGTAAAGAATAAAGTGGGCTGCTCCCAATTTTACTCTGTAATAGGGATCTCCCACGGGCCAGCACTCAACATAGCTATAAGAAGAAAACAACTCTCCACTACACACAATAGTTTTAAAAATGCCCTGGAGGCCTGAAAAAAGCCATCTAGCTGGCACACTCCATCTCTGGTCTTCCTTTTTAATGACACCAGATCAAAGAGGCTGGCAGTGGCTTTTATATATTAGAACTGGAAGGTGAGAGGCAAACATTCAAGAGAATAATTGCCTTCATCCCTTTCATTGTGAATGGCAAGGCCTGCATGAAAATGATGTCTTTTTCTTCCCTGCTGCAACTGTATTACACTGATGTGCTTTTTTAAAATATCAACCCCATCTTTCCTCTTACAGCTTGGATGAGGACCCAGGAATCCAGCCTCCCACTGGACCCTTGCTATGGGCAGCACTGCCTTCCCAAAGCTGACAGTTCTGTGCACGATCCCGTCTCTCTCTTGCTAGTAACCCAGTCATAGTCACCATCATGGTTTGTACATCTGAGCTCTCTCTAAGGAAAAGCCTGGCAGCTATGCAATGGGAACAGAACCAAGAAACAAAACAGACATTGCTACAGGGTACAAGAATGCTGAATGGTTTGCGCAAAGGACTCCAGAGGTTTAAAAAGAGTTTTCTCTCCCCAATACAACCTGTTTTCCCCCACAGTCCCAAGAAAGGATAGATTCCTTTGGCATGTCCTTCCTAAGGCCAGACCCTTCCTTAATTGTTCTACTTTACATTTGGCTCTTCTAAACCATTTCCTGATTTGGATGACACAGCATGGCTCTTCTCAGGTTATTTAACACAGAGAAAACCTTTCTGCCCACAGGCACCATTTTGCATAATGAACCTCCGCTTTGGAGGAGTCCTGCTGCAAACTTGGTGAGTATGGGTTAAGCATGCATGGGTTAAAGCACCCTCCCATAATCCATGACTGGTTTTAGAGTAATGTTTTAATTATTGCAAGCCGTCCTGAGATGGAAGGGGTAAAAATGTTTTAAATAAAATAAATGTGATGTTTAACTTTTACATCACTCACAGTCACTGGGTTTCCATGATAAGGCAAACTCTGAATAAGGCTGGATATGCAAAATGTATCCATATGCACCCACAGCCTGACCATGGGTTAAATAGTGGGCTGTCATGTTGAATGAGATGGCCTTCAGAGTGCTGCTGTAGCCTGATAAAGAAAGAGACTCTGAATAACCCTTTTGGACTTCACCAATATCCTCTGAAAATGTTTCAGGGCTTGAGTGAGACAGAAGACAACAAACTCTGGGCTAGTGCTTCCTTAGTGTGAAGGAAGCTTTGACACCATTCCCCTGATGATGTGATGGTGAAGTACCTGCAGGATCAGGATCAGGCCTGTAGGTACTTGAAAGGGCTGGAGCCTGTGTGATCATGTAGCACAGCTGGGAGCGCAGCTGGGCGCTCTGGAAGGCCTTATAAAAATGTGTTGCTCAGCTGTGCTACAGTAATGGGGGCTTTTATACTGTCTTTCTGAGCCGGCTTCCAGCCTTGCCTTGTTTCCTGCCAGGTCTTGCCTGGCATCTCTGTCTTCTCTGACCTTGCCTTGTCAGTAGCTGTGGTCTGACTTTAGTCCTGCCATGCCTTATCAGCATCCGGTCTTTACTGCTTCCTGACTTTTGCTTTTGAATCGGGATCTGCCACACCATGTCAGTACCTTTGCCTGTGATTCTGCTGTACCTTGTCTGTATTGGGCTATTACCTGTTCTTGATTCTGCCCTTGCTTTTGGACCTGCTATGTCTTGTTGCTACCTGACCTTGCTTGTTTCTGACTTCACCTTAGTGCTTTTGGCACTAAGACCTCCCCCATCCCTGGTCCTGGTGCTCCAGCTGTAGACACCTGCTGCCTGTGCTCCAAACCTGACAGTCTTCCAATTAAGGAGCATTCTCAGTCTATCACCAACCACTATATTGTGGCCTCCGTGCTTATGGTTTGTATTAACGGTACCCACATATTCATTAGTAGTGATATCAGGCCCCTAAACTTCCCTAGGAAGTGCAGGAATACTGCACGTAATCCAGCTGATATATGCCCATAATATTAGAGATGAGCCATGCTGCACCTTAAGGAACAGCCTGGGTTTAATTCATCATGACCAAGTTCAGAGTTCGTGTTGCACTCTTAGCAGAATGTTCCTTAATGCAGCATGACAGAGCTTTGCTGCCCTTCCTAACTCTGCTAATTACACTGACACCCTCTCCCATCTGGCAGAAAGTGATCTCCCTTGGCCCGAGAAATCCAACAGCTGAGAACCTGGACATCACAATGTGGCCATTCACACTCTCCCAAGCCAGAGGGACAATGGGAGCTCAGTAACACGGTCCAGATGGCTTTCTTCAAGAAAGTGCTCACCAAGTAGCTCTGGGAACATGCAAGAAGCAAAAGTGTCGGCCTCATACGCTGCATTTTCCAGTCAGAAGATCATGCTCGTGAGTGCTCTCGACTGTATCCCTATGCACGTGGATTGCATCGTTGCAATCTACGAACCTTCTGTTGCAGGGCGTAGCGGCCGTGAACAAGGCTGATTCCATGTGAGGCATAATTAGAAAAGGAAGCAAAGCATAAAACTGCCGATATCAAGCTGCCCTGATATGAATCTATTATGCAACCACATTTGGAACACTATGTACAGTTCTGATTACTACACCTAAAAAAGGAACAGCTCACTATTTGGAAAGATCCAAATAAGGGTAACCTAAATAATCAATGGACTGGAGCAACTCTCTTATGAAGAAAAGCTACAATGTCCAAGGCTGGTAAGCTTAGAAGATGGATGATGAAGGGGAGACATGTTAGAAATGTACAAAATTATGCATGGTGTGAATCAAGTGGATAGGGAGACATTTTCCCTTCACATAATGCTAGAATCTGGGATCATCCCATGAAAGTGACAGGTAGAAAATTTTGAATAGATAAAAGAAAAAAATGTTTTCACAACACAGAGAGTTAAGCTATGAAATTCATTACTACAAGGTATAGCAATGGTCACCAACTCCAATGGCTTTAAAGAGAGATTAGACAAATTCAGTCCCAGATTAGGGGTGCAAGGGGGCAATTATCCCCCTTTATACACACACAGCAGTTACTGAATGAATGAATGGCCTGCTAGGGCAGGCAACGCCCTCCCCTGACCCCCCAGAGTCCAGGCCTGAGTACATTCATAGAAGAGAGATATCAGTAGCTACAGGTTCCGATAGCGGCTGTTGGTTCTGTGGTGCCTCTGATACGGCAGGCAATATGTTCATGTACACCATTTTCTGGGCGAAGTGGTGCCGTTACATTCATTTCCAGTTTGTGGGCAGCTGATTTGCCGCTGCGTGAATAGAACAGTGGACTAGATGGGCCCTTGGTGTAATTCAGCAAGGCTGTTCCTATGTCCTTATGTAATTCCTGGAAGAGATTGCGAAGTTAATGGATTATGAGGGAGTTAACCCATCTGCACAACATACCACCTTTCCAGAGCATTCGGGCATGCTCGAATTCGGGCATGGGAATTGCTCACAAAAGTAATCTTATGATTTAAAAGTCAAATACGTGAATTGAATTCTAGTCATCATTAGTACTGGATGGAAGAATTCAAACTAACAAACCAGAAAATTAGATAGTGCTATTGATTATAGCATAATTTGATCTACAGCTACTGTTCTTGTTGGTCCTCTGAAAGCAGTCTTTCTATGTTCTGAACACAGTGTCAGGAGGGCCAACATCCAGATCAGACATTTGATCCCAGTGCATTTCTGGTTATCATCAGTTTTGGCTAGGTCAATCCATGAACTCACCTTGAGCTCTGGACACTTCCAAATCAACTCAGAAATATTTAGGATTCATCCATAAAGTAGCAGCAACCAGAATATGCTAGTTTGCCTCAGTTCACCCTCATGCCAGCACTTGTACTACCACTGTACTTCAGAGGCTATTTTATGGTGGAAACCATGTTTATTCTGAAATGTATGGCATGGGCTATGTGCATTCTTTGATTTGCTGCTTGGTCAGACACCCCCATCCCAAATACAGTATCAGCTGCAGAATCCAGCCTTCTAAGAATTCTTTAGTGTTTTAAAAAGTACTGTTTTTGCTCCTGCAGATGGTATAAAAATCTGTGGGCAGCAATCTTTCAAAAATGGAGGTGTGAGAGAAAGACTATCAAGGGACAAAGCTTCAGCAACCTACACATTTCCTTTCCAGGGATGAGCATGAGCACAGAGTCCATTATAAAACTGAGCAAAACTATGACAGTTTTCATTAATTATACAGGCTGTGTATTTCAGCTCCTCATGGTGCAAAAATTTCATGTTTTTAGTTTAAATATTGCCTTATGTACACTATGAATAGAATTAAATTTGAGTTTTTTAAGTGCGCGCTCTCGCTCTCTCTCTCTCTCTCTCTCTCTCTCTCTCTCTCTCTCACACACACACACACACACACACAGAGGAAACATCATTACTAGTGTGTATCAAGACCAAATTTGAGGATCTAGAATCCACTGCAAAGAAACCCACCTACATTCCAAATCATGGTTTCATGCACTGCAGTTGTCTTTGTCAGTTAGTCTGGTATGACTAACTGCAGAGCTGTATTATACAAAGAAAGTGCAGTAACAATGCATGTCATTTAGAGGCAATGAATGCAAGCTACAAGCAATCTGGTTTGAAAGGCATTCCAAATCAACTTACTTCTATTAATCCTTTCACACCACATTCTTGAAGACTAACATTAACCACAAGCATCATTTCGAGCTGGTTGTGTGAGTAAAAGTATATGGAAGAAAACCATAGATGCAGTTACTTTCTTCTATCATGGAAGAGACAGATGGCTTACTTCTTAGGTGTACAAAAAGAGGAAGAAAAAATGAACTGACTGAAGAGATGAGATAGACAAATGGCTGTTCATACAACACATTCTCTATTGCCCCCTAGTGTCTAGAAGCATACAGAATCATTTTATTATCTAAAGTCTTCAGTTTTTTGCAGGATAGCCAACATCCCAAAAGTCTCTTGCACAAACTTTCTCTTTCTTCTTTCAAAATCATCAGACTAGCTCAGCTTTTTTGGCTTCTCTGCCATTAGTGACATCATAGCTGTTCAACTTTACTTGGCACATCTTCTACCGGAACATCTGCCTGATCTAAAGATGGAAATGTGGAGCTTCTTCAGATGAGTGTGTTTCAGAACATTTCAGAAAATTAGTCTGCTATCTAGGTCTCTCAAGGGAAGGTAAACTGTGCTAATTAGAACCTACATACTTATACAGGATGGGAATTTCACTTCTATAGACCTGCAAAAAATGAGACAAGGTCTAGATAAGGAATAACTGGCCACAAAGCAGATGTGGCAGCCATCTGGACACAGACCGATTCAACGTTCTGAGAAGGCTTCTAGAAAGCTAGACGAGTGCATTCTTGAGGAATTTGTGCATATGTCATGTTTCTCGGTGGTGAAAATGCATGTGCTAATATTGAAAATGTAGGTTGTCAGATTTTTTAATGCCTTATTTTGCCACAATCCCAGAAATATTTGGGCAGTATCAAATTCCGTCTATCCATGCACAGGACCCACTGCTGTCTTTTGTTCTGTAGTTTAAGTGACTTCCACTTTTGCACAGGAGTCATTTAGTATTGCTGTAAGCC